TTAGATATCGAACAGAACGATTTAAAAATAGCCCTATTGTGTATGGGATTGAAAGTTTTAACCGAAGGTTGGAGTCCAGTGGCGTAACTACTATGGGCTCGGACCGGGCAAACCCGGGGGCCACCAACCCCAATGGGCCAATTGGGGGCCCCCAGACTCAGGCTGTAGAGCAAAAACATTGGCCAGGGCCTCTGATATGTTACAATGTCGTTCTCTGACCATCAGAATTCTGTAAAATCTCTCCCCAAAGTCCGGGAAATGGCATTTCACGGAGACTCGATTCAAACTAATTTTCCGGGTGAGCATGCCCTGGACCCCCTAGAAGTGCTTTTGGCACTTCTACTAGGGGGGCCTTCGAAAATTTTGAACCGGGGGCCCCCTGATTTATAGGCCACTGTTGGAGTCGAAGTAAATTTGTCGATTCCTTCAATTTTTTTTAAAGATTACTATTATTAGATTCTTATGAATTTTAAATGTAATTCACATTGTAAATTAGTATATACTATTTAATGTGAAACTCTAGAAAGATTAAAGAAAGATTAAATATTAAAGACTTCGTCTCGGTTTTTATTCACCGATAATCACCTCACCTTCGACAATTTAATCGTCATGTCTCAAATATATATGTTTCTCGTGGAAATGATCGTGTTGAAATAAAATGGATTTATCTTTGTTTTGAACTGTATAAATTTCAGGCATCGAGTAACTGGCACGGACGGAATACAGTTGCCCTATGGCACGATCAATTACGGAAAATTGTCTTTAAAAGGTGCCGAATTAGAAGGCGCCGCAAATGATCGTGGTAAAATCTATGCACAGCACCGGGTTTTCATTACGTTCAATTTAGTTTGCGTACGTTCCAATTTAATTCACGTTTACTTTAGTTTCCACTTGCAGCCATGCGCATATGCAGGCTCCGAAACATAGCTGAATTAATTGACTGACAAATTGAATGAAATTGTAAAGCTGAGAAAACTTGAATAGTCTGTGATAAAAACACCAGAAAACTGCGGATTTATAGAGATCAGTTCAACTACCTGAAAAATACAAGTAAAACTTCGACGTTTCGCGGAACAAAGGCCCTATATTGAACCCCTGACGAAGGGTCTTCGCTCGAAACATCGTTGAATTTAATATACTTTCTAAGCATACTTATACTAACATTATATTTTTCATAAGATTAGTAAGTTAACATGCAAGAAGATCGAGTGAAGCTTAATATTTTCTGCAAGTGATTGAAATTAAATATACGTAATAGGTTATGTATGTAATTCATGCAATCCAAAAGCATTGATTTATCTGAGGCCTCGGTTACATTTCGGTCATATAGTATTATTTATATTGACAAAAAATTGCTCTGACCAGTCTGAAGTCATCCCTTTCGCTGGACTGAACCGATTGTCTTCAAACCAGGATGAATTTGGCCAGGATTAAACTTATAAGAGCGGCGATCTATTGAAATAATAACGCGCAATAATGCATGGACGTTAATTCTAAATTGTGGTTCAAATTTCATATATGTAGTGTCCACTAGAACAGAATAAACTGAAACAGGATCGCTCGTCGATAGACGGCTTAGTTTAGGGTTTATCTCCCGCCCACTCCATCAAAATTTCCTGCGAATAAAAGCAGAGTATCTCGAGAAAATCACGGCTGCTAACGTTAACTCACTTTTTTCCCATATTAACTTACAGTGCCATGAGTCCGCTACGAGATTCAAATCGTTCAGACGTTTACCGGAATCATTGAAAGGGGCTTACGTTTTGTATCCAACCGCAATGTCGAAAGATGACTAAATTAGACCAACATGTACCGGTGGAAGTCCCATGGGTCTTTACTACTCCTTAGCTACACAATCTTACTGAGTCATTAATGGACCCGAAAGTAGTTAATGCCCCTGGTTCTAGTTACTAACGACATAACGTCAAAAAGTATACTTGACATCTACTGTTATCGTACAAGTGTCTTCTCTGGATTAGTCCTGTTTCCTTGCCCAAGTTTTACCAAATAAATGTTTTAGAGTAATTGCCCCCGCAGGGTTTTGGCTCCAGAGGGTCAAACGTAATATGATATTAATTTACCAGAAAAGTTTAAGTTTTTAAGTTTTTGCCCGCAAAGCATTGGTGGGTAATATCGCAAAACATTGGGGGTATTGAAGTCCCCGCACGTAATATAATATAAATTGTTTAAGGTCAAACAGTAACACAAGATTTGAAACTATGAAGTATCAACTATACGATTTGTCAGTCAGACACATTAATTGAAAGTCAAAACAGGAACCAAAAGACTCGGTTCACATATCAGTCAGTCAAAAACAAAAACAAATACAAATATAGAAGATCGAGCAAAGCTTAACGATTATAAAAAATATAGTTTTATAGAACAAGACAGGGACTCATAGTCATTGTCCATTATATTGAGAAGCAGCATTCCTTCATCCGGATGGACCATAGATATCTTATATACACTAGACAGTGCATTTAATTATTCTGCAATTCAAAAATTGAAGCCGTGATTGCAGTCTCAGGTCGTTCCCATGAAATGAGAAGATTCGTATGTTTTCTATTTCTTTAACAGGGAACTTAAACTTTAAGTTAACCCTATTCCAAATACATTTTTAAACTATTCAAATGATGAAAGTTATTGTTGTTTTTAAGCGTTTATTAGCAAGTGGGAACGACCAACATGGCCGCCATCTATTCAAATGGGGGTAACCGCTGAAGTATTCTTGGCTTCAATTTTACTACAAGAGATGCGCTATCTAGTGTATATAAGATATCTATGGGATGGACGTACAAGGATCAAGTTACACGTGGTTACTGTTTCACTTTTAAACTTCGTCCAATTTTATCAACCTTCTAAGCGTTTTGAAAGAAAGCCAGAAAGAGTCATAACATTTTGTCGTATTAATATTTGTAAAGCATAAGGCATGATCATTTTCAATAACAGCTAGTTAGTACACCATAATCAGCCGGGGGCAGTTTTAGTGTATACTGTTTCTAGTTTAATGCAGTTTTAATGGCAATTTTGTTTCAATAGCCGACAGGTCTCTTAATCCCAGAATCTTGTTGTACTTGCTACATGAAGGTAAAATTGATGTCAGAGGTAAGTGGTAATCATGATTCAAACTAAACTGCCAACTGCTTGTGCTGGACCACGTCTGGGCTCTAGCAGTGCTCTGTTATCTGAACATTAATTGATTGATGTGTTCTTGGATATTTCTTTCTTTTGTGTTTTTCATTCGAGCTATTTAAACAATATCATATTACGACTTTATTTCAAAGCCATTGTCAAACCTAAGTATTTAGCTACAAGCGTGCTGAGATCTTTATACTGTCTATGAGAAAAACAGGAAGTTTAATATAATATTACAATGCAATTATAATCCCTCAGCTCTTTTGGCACCTCTCAGCTGATTACGTCAACTTCCTGTTTGTCCGCCTATAAAGAACTCGGCACGCTTGTATTATATGACAATGACGTGATTTTACCAAATAAGGTCATGAGAACACGAAAAATCTGCGAGCGGATTACACGGTAAAAAGCCGTATTGCCCTCGTCTAAACAGATTTTCCCTGGTTTGGACGAAGCAAAACCCCGACCCTTTTTAGTGAAAAACACACTACGGAAAACTCAAGGTCAAACGCGACTCCTGATTCGAATATACAGTAATAAAATAACCGTATAAAACTGCGCGATTAAAACACCAAACTTTATGCGAGCAATTTGAGGTATTTATTTTTTAATTTTGTTGACCAAAACAGCAGCAAAAATGCTATAAACTAAAGCTCAATCTCTTAAATGTATTTCAAAAACTAGTTTTCAACGAAAACAAATCTTGACAACTTACTTGAACATTTTTGAAGTAATTGGACGTTTGGACGTAAAATATTAGACTTGTACAAAGCTTTATTCATTGTTGCGCCTTGAATTAAACTAGCTGCATTATTCGCTCGCAGAATCACTAATTTGAAAAGTATTTTCGAAATTCCTGGTTATAGCGATGAATAGTTGAAGAAATCTGTTGTTTAGGTAGCTACTATTTCTTCACTTAATTCACCTTTTTTAACAACTCTTAAGAGGCAGTCCGTGTAAAAACCGACCACTCGAATTTCTTAAGAATACAGATTTCCTTCAAACTTTCTGTGTGGAAGAAGTCATTCATAAAATGAACAAAAAACGTTGACTTGGAAATTGTAGTCAGTTTTAAAATTTTTTTCGCAATTATTTTCGGACGCGTTCGAAAACAAGTTAAAACGTTAATTACGCAAGTGATATTTGAGCTTTTTATATCTCACAGTTCATCTCGCGCTTTTATTCTAACTTCTTGAAACTTACATATTTTATTGTTTCCTGCCTAGGCATAAACCTAAACTAAAAATTATGCTGGTCACTTGAAGCAAACAAAATATTGTGTATTTTTAAAAACGTCTTTTAAAAACGTCTGAAAATATTCTTGTTAGTATGCTGGCGGTAAATTATTTTTTCTCAAAAGTGCAACGGTATCAGGTATCCAATCTATTGCAGCTACTGAGTATTATGACACATCTACTAGAATAAATAATAAAATCTTTGGGCAGTGTGTTTTTCACTTGACAAGCGCGTCATGAATATAGTCAATTTTCGCTAATTCGACTAATTATAAGCTATAATTTGTTAATGCATTTACCTAAATTTTTCGCGTTAAAAACATACAAAATTGTTCACTATCTTTCAAATATGGCTGATTTTTGGATAAAGACTAAGTTATAAATATGCTAGCATTTATGCTAGCTTTATAACATAGAGCAAAAGTCCTGACGCATGTGCCGACTGAAATTGACATGCACGCGTTGCTAATTTTATCCGCCGGTATTATCTTTTTATTATTTATCAGTGCATGTATGAAAGAATTGTAAACATACTGATCTTGGTAACTAAAACTATATGCACCGATTTCCTCCAAATGTACACATCTATCACAGGAGAATATTAGAAGAAAGTAATACTTTATATGAACCGCTTTTCACGCGAAAAACATTACTCTCTAATAAATTGTATAATATACTTTCAAAGTATATTATACAATTTATTAGAGAGTAATGTTTTCGCGTGAAAAGTGGTTCATATGTAATCTCCGTCATCGCTTGAAGTCGGTCAACGCGTAATTTCAAGTTTTTCTTCGCTTTCTTAACAGTATATTAATATCGTAAAATCAGTACAATTTTAACTCGTTGAAGTTGAGGGGGCGGGGGTGTTAAAATCTCCCAAAGAAAAGTCAAGAAAGGGCCCAAATATTTTCGGGCAATATAGACCACAGCTCCTCCAATAGATATATGAATCCCGTACGCCTATGAGTATACTACTATACATTTATATTGCACTCATGTGCATAGAGAGACAAGGTACGAAATTAGAATCTATAAACAATCAACTTTAATACATGCATGGTTGGGTATACAAAAACGTTTTGCCGTAAAGGAGAATTTCTTTCTTGTTGCTTTGAGCTATTAGGCTATATTAAAACCGACGAAACATGTAGTAAGCGTATATATTAAGTGAAAGTGAAACTTATTCTCAAACAAATAAATGAACCAAGACTGCATGTCGTAATCTCTCTGAAAGGGCGAAGCAGTAACTATATAAAGGGTGTTTGTATAGAGGCATCTAACGGCAAGTGATTTAACGATCACACGGAGGGGTTATTAGAGACCTTACGATTTTAGGACGGCAACGCGACGACGACGGCCAAAACAAACTCCCTCAAATAAATGGTAGTATTAAGCCCACTATTTGTTGTATATTAGTTTCTCATCCGGGGCTTCTCCTAAAGTGGATGCGGGCTGGCGGGCCAATACCATTATGCCATTATTTGCTGGATTTCCCCTCCCCATAAAATTTGTTTTGGAAAAGTGCGCATTAAGCATTTATATAGCAACTTTCTGGAAAACAGCACAAAATCAGTAAGTGCAACTGAAAGCACGTTTTCATAATTTTGTACCCGGAACGTCTGGCGTTTTTCGGCCCTGCCCCTGGCTTCCGGTAGAACTTTTATAGCTGAGTTTGGATATTTAATACGTGTGGACGTAATGCGGGAAAAACTTGCAGTTTGGTTATGAAATTTTGCATTTTAACTATAACATTTGGTTTGGGAACGTTTCTAATTGTCTTTCTTTCAAATTTCACTTTGAAGACATTACAAAATTTATAATAATGGTCAAAAATGGCAATAATAATGGCGAACAAGGCCATTTTCTTAAAAAAGCATGCGGGCGGGGATGAGAAACTAATATACAGCAAATAGTGGCCTAAAGACAATTCGTGGTATATTAGCAATCGTATGAATTTAATACAATCGCATGAATTCAATGGGTTTTATGTTTGGGAAGAGTTCTGCTGAAGCCAGTTTGAAGTTGCACTTGTTGCGGCTTAATTAATGCAGCCGTTGTATCAAGACGTGAAAATCTGTCATTTGGCGTTGTAAGGGGCGGACCATTAGAAAATGGGGGAGGGGGGGGTGGCAATTTCAGAAAAAAAAATCGTGCAAGGTCAGTTCAGAGGAAAAAAAAATCTTGCAGAAACCCAGCGTGGGAAAAAAATATCTTGCAAGTTATTAGACCAACATATATTTAGGTAAAGTTATAAACCTCAGAGAATAGTAAATCAATGGAAATATATAAACGTAAAAAATTATACATAATGTAGACTGTAGTTATATTAAACATACACATCTCAGTCTAAAATATTCAGTTGTACTGTCTTAAAATAACCTGTATTTAAAATATAAAGTTGATTTATATACAAACACTATATATTAACAAATAACAACATAAAATAACAAAAACAGAAAACTTTCACCATGTTATCAGTATCAGTTGAATATAAATGTTATCTTCCTTTTAATATCACAGCATGTTTATATGTAAAAGTGTTTTCAATTAGATATGGAGAATTTTATGAAGTATCTTTTTAAAGTTCTTCAACATCATTCTCAATGACCACAGAGTCATTGTCTGCCCCATCACAATCCGAAGTTTCAACAACATGACAATCATCACCAGGCCCTTCAGTCACATTTATAATAGCATGAAGCTTTGCTCTTTTTGCCTGTCTTCTTTGTTGAATTTTGTTATGTGATGCTGTTTTCTTGTGTTTTTCAGCTGCCATCTCAACTTTTGCTTTCAAGGCAGTAACTTTTGTACTAACATGCTCAACAGCCTCTTGCAGCAGTGGTAGATGGTGTAAATAAAATTCATTTGGCTCTTGCCACTCTATGATTAAAAAGAAGTCAACATACATGCAGTTAAGCTTCAAAATAGCCTTAAGTTTATATAGAGCAAGTTTCTATAGACATTTATGATTTCCCTAGTTTAAATGCATATCAATTATATTTTAAGGCATGTATCCATAAAATTAATACCTTCTGAAATAGGTGGTTTCCTAATTTGACCTTCGCAAGCATGAAGGGCATTTATGGCAAATTTCTCAATTCTCACAAGCTCAATTTGGTATTTGCATAGTTTCTCATATATGTTGAGTGTAACACTGTCAGTCTGACTTGCAGCGATGGCCTCAGTCGCAGGAAATCTCTTCTGTATCTCTTGGATTTGACCATATATAGACTGTTTCTTATAGTACTCTGTCCATTCGTCAATTGCAGGTGACTTGCTGGTTGCTAAAAGCAACTTAATTCTGGTTGCCCTTTCCTGCCTGCACCAAAGTTCACAGTCTCTCAAACTCTTTGCAAATTTAAATCTTTCTTCAGCCATCTTCAACACAAACGAATTCGACAGAACCTGGCTTGGATTGCGGGGTCTATCATGCCATAAGTTTTTGTACTTGCTTTTTAAACCTGACGTTCCCACGACGACATTTCCCATTCCGTCGCGTGTGCCAAAGAAGTTTCTGAACGACTTTGGCAGTTTTACAATGACAGATTGACTTGACGTTTTATATGAACCACAAGCACTACCTGAAGGTGAATTTGTCTTTGCAGCGCCAGTTTCAATGCAAAATTGCTTATATTCGCGGATAAGTCGTCTAAATTCGAATTTTGTCATGAATGCAAACTCAGCATCATCGCCGTCCGTTACGTCTGCTAGGTGATCTATAGATTGTATGCCCATTTGTTCTAGTTCAAGCTGATGTTTTTCAAGCGATATGCTTTTTAAAAAGCGGGTAAAATCAGAATCTGAGGTGGTGCCAACAACATTGTCATCAATGGCAGCCATCTTGTTCTCTTTGAAATACCTTCAGTAGATGAAGTACTTGCAGAGCCAACAGAGCCTGCAGTACACATATTATTTGATCGCTACCTGTTTTTCGCTGCGAAACACCATGAAAAGCAAATTTTATGGTTGATATATCTGTTAGAACTGGTAGAAAAGATGACTGTCCAAGGACGAACTATTCAAAACGAATTTAACAGTGCTATAAGCCTTAAACACATCAGAGTTTCACTTTGCAATCGAACAGTAAGTGAGACTCACGCTTTTCTTAATGAAAAAATATTAAGTACGACTAGTGAATCTTCACGTGTAAGGCTTGGTTCAATATCATGTCTCCTAGACGAGCTTCTGGTATTTGGCTGCATGGAATTCCACGTTGCGTTCGACCATTATTCATCAAAAAATACCACACTGAACTGCGCGAACGAGAGAAATTGCAAAAAACAATTCAAGGTGCTGGTTTTGTCTAAGAGTGGATTGCCCGTAGCATTCCTGGATTGTGGCGAGAAGCAGTACTTGTTATTACTTGAGAGACCTCTCGACAACATTCTTCTTTTGCAGTGTTTGGATGATATTATTTATGATTCTACTGGCAAAGCACACGAAACTCTTTTTCCAAACCATACATTATGCAGCAGTGTGCCACATCTTATGAAATTATTGTCATCTTCTCGGGACAGAGCTATAGTTATGTTCATTCTGAGTTCTATATTCTCAGCACGCGCTTTGAGAATTGCTTTTGGTTTTCGTGAGCATATCGTCAATAAAGCGGTAGAAGATATTCAGAGTTTTGTAGAAGAACTAGAGAATCAACATTTTATATCAAATCAAGCTGAGAATTTGCTGAGCCAAACAGTTTCTCGCTTGGAAGAAGAAATAAATTCAAGCGACCGACGACCAAACAAGAGGGTTCTTGAAGACAGCGAAGATGACATGGAATTTGAAATTAACAACAAAAGAGCTAGACTTCAACATCTGAAAACAAATAAAGTTGCTGTCAAGGAGAGAATGGCGAGAAGACTTTTTCATAAGTGGAAAAGGTCTTTAAGATCCCAGAGGGGAAAAGGGCAAGGACGTTATAGAATTGATCGTGGAGCAGAAAGTGCGATCAACGATATTCTTTATGAGCAATCGAAAGCCCATAATCGAAGGTACGTTTAAGTTTTAATTAATATACGGACTTTTATAGATATTCCCAGTTCTATAACCAAGTACGACTTGTGTTATTTTTGTATGCATGTGCTTTTTTTTCATTTTGATGGCTCATTTATATTAACTTAAAGATCAATTATTTCATGCACCAAATACGAAATGATCGTTCGGTTTTGCAAATTACTGGGAAGTGGATGCAAAATTTTTATTTCCCTGGGACTATTTCCCGGCTTCGTGCATGTGTGAGAATTTATTTTGTTGATTTAAACTATCTTTATATAGATGGGGAGATGAAGGAACCAACTATGTTGAGCACGAAGGTAGAATACATGGAAAACAAATGCGCAAAATTGCAAATCGGTATTTGAAGAAAATGGGAAAACCGCTTGTTAAAAGCATTGCAACATGCCGTTCTTGGGGAAGATGCCGTAACACAAGATACAGACAAGCGAAAATGCACCGAGGGAGAAATCTGTGGAGCTTTTTAAGGCCTCAAAAGAACCTCCACACACGCCATATCAATGTACACTACAACCGGGCGCATGTTAAGAACTATACAAAGGCAGTATTCAGCGATAACGTATTAAAGAAATACGTTTGCAGGAGAGCAATGGACGATAAAGCATATGTGCGATGTGG